AAAACAAAGCAAAAAAAAAAAAAAAAAAAAAAAAAAACAAAAAACAAAAAAACTAACCAACCAAACAACCACCCAACCACCCAACCACCCAACCACCCAACCACCCAACCACTCAAAGCCAGATAAATTCCATATCTCCGCGTGCTCATGCATTATTCTCTATCTATATTAGTCGCAGCAAACCAAGATATCAAAACTCCACTAGCATCAGGCGAGTTTTGTATAAAACCTCAAAATGGCGGCTGCAGACCAAGGGATGGCACAGCACTGGTCTTCACAAACACAGCCGACTGCATTCAAGAATCAATGCAATTCATCCTCTCAGCGGGAGGCCTCTTAAAGCATGCGTGCAGTAACATGCTGGTTTGTCCACAGAATTCCAGGAATGAAGAAAATACTGTTTTGATCTTGAGCAAAAAGTGTTCCAGAGAACAGGCAAAGTTTGAGAGAACAAAAGGTAAATGATGCTAAAACAATAGCTCCATGTCGAGGTTGGACGTAATGTGTTCATACATTTACTGCATTTTATCATTCCAACCTCGACTTGGGGCCATTGTTTCGTGGTCACTAAAGTGAATATCTCTGCATGGGAAAGGTTTGTTGACTGTACTATAGTCGAAAAAATGTATGGTAAATTAGAGAGGAGATTGTCTATCAGGTAAACTCATGTGATAAAATTTCTATCTACACATGATGACAAGTTTTGCAGCTGACAGGTTTTCTTCGCCTTGGGTACCTATTAACTTAATGTTTTTGTAAAGAAGAAGAAATTCCTTTATGGTTAATTAATATGTTATCAAAGCTTCATTTTCCACTGTTTTCACATGTACAGGGCTTCAATAGGACGCAGCGAAATAAGGCTCTGACGAGATACTTCTTAACAAAACTCTCAATATTTGTACCCACCAGAATGACACTAAACATATTAGACGAAGAAAAATGTTTAAAACTGGTTTCATTCAAGTTTTTTATACTATCTATTTAGGGGGTTCATTGAAACACGTCAGCAGTGGTTTCTGCGTCCATCCATACCAAGGCGCACGATACGAGGGTACGAAGTTGTGTATCTACCAAGGCTGTGACGAGGAGAGACTGCGAGTAGACTTCCTAAGGCAAGGTAAAATTGTCTCTGTCTATATTTGGGAGCCGCCACGTTGAAGGACAAATCCTTTGATGTCTTGGTTCTTGAGCTGCTTATCTTCTTATCAGATAAAATAGTTTGGCTGCCATTTTTCCTCGAGGGTAGTACGGGTGGCGCAGTGAGAGTGCTTGCTTCTCATCAATGCCAGCCGGGATCGATTTGTGGACTCGATGTCATATGTGGGTAGAGTTTGTTGGTTCTCTCCTGTGCTTCAACGGGGTTTTCGTTCCTCCACAAAAACCAACTTCTAAATTTATGAGGGTCGCAAGGTCTGCTAGCCACTGTACTGGCTATATTAAGTGCTAACGTCGTAGAACAAGGACAATGTACAACCATTACATGGCTTAGTTTTCCACCATTTTAATCTCGTAATCTAAACAGACTGCCTTCTTCCTCTTGGCATGGCTAATGGGAGGATCAAAGACATACAGATAACAGCATCTTCATACACTAATGATGCTAGCCTTCCTAAGAACGCTCGTCTTATCCCCGGCAGCAAGAAAGCGTGGTGTGGTAAGGCAAACAAAGATCAATATCTACAGATTGACTTGACTGAGGTGAGTTTGATGATGTCATTGAAAAAAAAAGAGTACCTGATTTGGTTTTATATGTTTTTTTTATAAATACCAATAATACTAATTCTTCTTGGTGCATTTTCTCCCAGACCACGTGTCATTTTCTAGAGTATGATTTCTTTGTTTAACAGTTGCGCATATATGGATACAACTCATACAAAGAATCTTATTCTCTAGGGAATGAAACGTGGTCTGTTATGGGAAAACAATGCGCCACTGAACGAATTAGGTCTATTAAACCGAGAGTTTTTCTAACAAAGTGTATAAAAAAAAATTTAAATTCCATTAAAAAACTCATTAATAATTCATGAAGGAAACACAATAGAAATCATGACCATGAAGGAGGTTTTATATCTGATATAGATTCAGTCTTCATTTGCATAAACTTTAACTTGGATTTTCTCTATCAAACTTGGTTCATTTCGTAAAGAATTCTGTACAACATGAGAACATACATCGCAGATCGTGTTTTATCGGGTCTAAAACCCCTCAGCTGCGCCACGTGTTTTATACCCGATAAAACACTCCTGCTAGTTTATTAAACATTACTTAGACCGTTTTAAATCGATTAAAAAGTATATGCAAAACTAGTAAACACAATGAATCTGTTTTTATGTTTTAATAAACATTCACCATCAATACAATAATTAGTGCATCGACAATACCAATACATTATTTTGTTCTTATTTGTGTTCTGTAGACGACAACGGTCACATCAATCATGGTCAGCGGTTTAGGGTGGAATTTTGTCCGAGGATATTATGTGTACTACAGTCAGGATGGTCAGCGGTGGACGTCGTACACTGAGACAAGAGACAGCACTGGATTCAATGTAATTTGACTTAAGATTGTGATGCTTCAAAACTATTGCATTTTGAGTTTTGAAATCTTAACTTAGGATACAAGACACCATCATTATTACCACCAGCAGCAAACAAAAACCGCTGTAAAAAACAGCAGAAATAACAAACTGAACAACAATGCTTGCATACGTTCAAAGATATGAAAAGTTTTATTGAGCGTGTTCACTCTTGACAAGGCAGCCATATTGGTGTACCAAGCAATAGAAACTTCCTGCACAGTTTTTGCAAAAAAATACAAAAGTATAATTCCCCGAGGAGAGAAAATGTTTTGTTTTGGTACACCAACATGGCCGCTGAAACTTCACGTGAAAAGATACTGTTCTCTGTTTAAATTCGACATTACCTTAATGATTTTAAGTTTAAGTTTATTTTTGCCTATTGTATAGTCATATTGCTACATGGGAAAATGTGCTGAGACGAGGAGTACACAATGCGTAGACCTGTGGGGGCCTGGTAAGTAGAGGAACGAAATTACCAAACCGGCATTTAATTGAGTTATTGAGTTCTTCTTCTTCTTCTTCTTCTTCTTCTTCTTCTTCTTCTTCTTCTTCTTCTTCTTCTTCTTCTTCTTCTTCTTCTTCTTCTTCTTCTACTTCTTCTTCTTCTTTTTCTTTAACTATCATCATTATCATCATCATCATCATCATTCGTTTAAATTTTGATTCATGAATGTAGCTGATTCAGCTGATGTTTTTTAAGGTGTGACATCCGCGGACAAAGCCTGCTACAACAAGTACAACAAAGAAGGAAGACGCTTTGGGACCTGTGATCCGACCACCAGTAAACCATGTGCAGGACGGTGCGTTAAACTTCTTTGAGCGAGAACTTAAGTTGAACCATCAATTTATGTGGTATATATTTTCGTTGTGCAAACTGCTCGTTTGTCTTATTTCAGAGACGTTCATTGCGGTCAGCTTCAGTGTCTTGATACGTTGTACAACAAACCAATAGTAGACTATGGAACTAATTACCAAAGATTGACTCTTCCAGGTGGACAGCAGTGCAGGTCGGCATTTTACTCTATCATCTTTTTAAACTATCAAAATATAAGTTACCATAAGATATTAGTAAGCTGTATTCCTGAACTTGGCATCATATTTGAGTAAAGTGTGTTAGGTCTCTCCCTTGATTCGAAGGTTTTCCTCCGGGTTTTCCCGTTCTCCTTCCCCCTAACATGCAGTGAATTCCAATTCCATCTGTCGATCAATTAGCCAAGCCCTGACTTTGATCTGCCCAGAGTTGGCTCCAGGATACTGATAAACTTTAGGTGATCAAATCAGTTTTGCTTTATCGTCAGTGTTGCGTCGTTGAAGAAGTCAGATTACGTCGGTCTTGGGATGGTTCAAGAAGGAACAAAATGTGGCACAAATAAGGTGAAAGCACTGTCGTTGCACCTGGAACAACATTAGAATGAAAAATGTTCCATAAATAGCTATAAATTGGTCAGGGGTACAATATAGATTTTAAAGGCAGCCATGTTGAAGGACAGGAAAAATGCAATGTATTTCCATGACCTGAGATTTTATCCCCCCCCCCCCCTCCCCAAAATGTGTCTGTTGTGCTGTCCTACAACATGGCTGCTGCATGACACATATAGACAGCGCGTCGGAATGCAGGTCAAGGAAAACTCCCTTCTTCCAATTCTCGGGAGATTGAAATCCCTTTGTTTTGTCCTCCAAATTGAGCTGCTTTGACCTCACATGCAAGGGGTGTATTAGTTTGATAAAATCTGTCAAGTTGCACAAAGTTTTAAGGTTTATAAAGAATGTTAATGTTATCCTAGGTCTCATCCTGTTCTGTTACTAAAGATTTTATTTATTTTCTTTTTTCAGATGTGCATTGGTTACAGGTGTCAATCAGTGCCACTGAAGTCTTGTCCAAACGTGAACGGTAAAGAGTGTGCGGGAAATGGGGTAAGTATGTAATCTTATAGATATACAATGCCTTCTCGTGGCGTATCATAGAATATACCACTCATTATATAATAACTACTATACACATTTTGCGTTCTGATTGGTTAGGAGCGCGTGTTTTATGATAGTGTAAAGCACAACGCGCAATTTTAGTTGCGTCATTCCTGTCAAAATAACGGCTATTGTAATTCGTATTTTATAAGCATGGGAAATCCCACGATCTCGAGTACGATTCGCAATTTATAGCTACGAGTGATGTTTTTAAAAATTTTCAAAATTGGCGTATCTATAAATTCCAAATTTTACGAGAAGATTGTGCGATGTTTTGTTTATTTGAGTAATTTTGTTGAGTGTATCATAAAAGAAATAAAAAACGCAACGCTTCGTTCGCAACGCAACTCTTAATTCTCCTAAAACTTTTGTCGTGTTCTGTCAAACCCCTYGTGCTTTATAACTGCACAGAGCACGCGCGCGCACAAAGTGGTATAATTATTATATATCTTGTGGTTAAATAATTTGTATGCTTTCTCCTCTAAAATATATCAGATTTGCTCAAATAAAAGGAAGTGCGTTTGTTTTGACGGTTACGACCCCGCCACTTCATGCCAAACAGGTAAACCCATATCATTAATTAATATATTTTTCTGATAAATTTATTTGATCAATATTAATAGTTGATCGATATCTAATCGATCAATGCCAGATGAATTTTATTCCAAAAAGGTAACAACATTTTGTTTTCTACCAGAGCTTTCTCCTGTTGATGGTAACTGGGGTTCATGGTCGGACTGGACCGAGTGCTCAAGGGTTTGTAATGGTGGAACGCGCAGGCGTTTTAGATTCTGTGACAGCCCAAACACTAAAAATGGCGGGAAATTCTGTCAAGGAGAAAGAGCGGAGGGAGAAGATTGTAACACAGAGGAATGTCCAGGTACACGAAAAGGCGTTTATGCTCCGATACTGCTGTTGCTGTTGCTGTTGGTGTTATATATTACATATATTACATGTTACATATTTCCCTTCAGAGGCCCATTCCTGCCGACATCTTCAACAGATCGGCAAAGCAACAAATCGCGTATTTAAAGACAACATCTACAAAATCAACCCCGATGGTAAAGGCGCCGTCATGACGTATTGCGACATGTCACGTGATGGTGGAGGATGGACTCTTCTGGTCACGAGCTATACAAACACGTGGACAAGAAACAGTGTCAAACAGAAGAACGAGATGAAGCCTGACTTGAAGAAAGATTTCTCAATCCTGTTTAAGGCTGATGATATCAAGGATAGTCTCAATGTAAAGGGCGATTATTTTGAGTATCGACTGGAGGCGAATAAGTTCGGTAATTATCAGCTGTAACTAAATACTTTTATATTTCACTTTTTTAAATGAATCCGAACGATGGAGAAATATGGTCAAACAAAGAAATTAAGTCACGGCACGGCACGTCACGTCTATTAAAATTGGTTTTACACAGTGTAATAAAATGTGATCTAACCATAGGCCTTTTCTGAGTTGCATGAACGGGATGCATTGCGGTCTAGCTTGGGTACAAACAACACCATATAAGTCATGATGAACAAAAGTTGAAAAAATGTTCCAAAAAGATCTATATCTAGGTTCTTTTTCCTTCAGGTCACTGGGGAGGAATCTGGAAAGCTCCTCGTAGCTACACCTTCCTGGCAACAGACAACAGCCAAACGAACGTCGATTTGTTAAAGAAGTTTGACGACTGGGAGTACAAGTATGCTGGGATCGAGAAGCGAATGCCTTACTTGTACAACGAAAGACTTACCCTGGCTGCTAATCCCAAGAACTCTATATATGGGTCCATAACTGGTAGGGGTTAGATTGAGACCATTTATTATCGTCATCATTTCCTTGCGCAAACGATTTTATGGCATGCCCAAATTAATATATTATCAAAAAGATGTTCCATAATCACATTTTGGAAGAGCAGTTAAACTTTTGTCCACTTAATCGTTTATACATTCTATCCATCAGAATTATCTTAAATGGTCAACAACATGAGCTTTCGTCTCGCACAAAACGGTTACATTGCAACAGAAATACTAATCACTATTGCGCATGCGTCTCTTTCGGTTTGTTTCATGTTTATGAAAGTATGCATGAAAAATAAGACCAAGGTCTCTGCATATTCCAACAAAGAGCGAAACATTGCGCACCAATTTAAGCTACATGATTTTTGAGCCTTGTAAGTTATTACAGCATGCTTTAATATATGGAAAACTTTCCTGGTTCTTGCAACCCTTTAACATTTATGTTTAAATCCAATACTTTATTATCAGCAAATTTAAAGGAGTACCACCCAGCTCCATGGATATACGGGAAGGAAAAAGAAACACAGCCGGCTTATATATGGTACTGGGTACGAGAAGGAGAGTATGAAGAACCAAGATCCTGTATGGACGTCTTGACTAGAAGTTTCTCCAAGACTGCGGCCAACGGTTTGATTTACTATATGTGCCATTTATATCCACCCATCCATGCATCCATGCATCCATGCATCCAT